TCTGGGTTAGAACCATTTTTTTCTCTGTCTTGCCCCTGTACAAAGAGACAAGAAGTGAAGGGGAACTTCTCCAACAAGGACACAGACATCCGTATACATATATTTATTTATGTACAGGAGTAAGGCTGGCCATACGATGTTAGAATGTTGGCCGATTCACAGGAATTGTCTGAAATGGGTGGCCCTGCTAGCTTGACAAAAGGCAAGGTAGCTGAGCTGAAAGTTTCCAGCCAAACAGTGCCTGCAGATGTAGTCACTGTTAATGTATTCTGACAGTGCCGGGCACCTGCTGTCAGAATACAATAGCCACAGCGGGAGATTTGTCCATCCATGCTGTTTAGTGTGGATGAAGGAATCTGTTTGTTTGTTTTTTCAAACTGTGGGCTGAACAAAAAATACCTATCTACTAGTATATGGGCAGCTTAATAGGTTAGGAACTGTCTGTCTCCCAACTGTAGGGAATTTTCCCTCAGTCACTATGTTTTATGGTGTGGCAGGGTGTCACCAGAACAGGAAGTAAGAGGAGATCACTTCCAGCAATGGCACACTAATAAAATGCAACACAGGCTTTAAGTCCTTCCTCACTCAATCTAAAACTGAAAAAAACAATTGGCATTAGATTTTAAGGTCCAAAACCCCCAAAAAACAAACAAAATCCAACATATTTCAGCTTCTCTTTACGGGGTGGAGGAGTTTTGTAACTCCCAGAGGATAGCTTCGTTTAGAAAGATGATAACAATGTGAGTTACAAGGATACTGGATTTCTAGGCTCGTGTATATTCCTATACTTGTAATGAATGTAATTGGCCTGAAAAAAAAAGAAAAACGAATGCAGCCGCCACATCTAAGGACTGGTAAGCTGCAATAGATTCCATTTTTGTTGTTTTGGTTTAGACATCCTTTTTATACAATGATAAAATAAAATGAAATGTAAACATTTTAAATAAGATGTATGGTTACCCAAAAACAAAGAAGTGCAGGAAGATGCTTGCCAACACCGTCAACATACAACTCAAAACAATGTTTTTATTGCGTTCTTGCCGCTCCTTTTGTAGCTCATTGTAACTTGACTCTGGAGGGAACTGCGACCAATACCAATTAGCGCTGTCTGACCTGAATAGATAAAGAGCATGACCATTATCAGTGTCACAGGAAACAGAAAAAATTTCGGCAGACACAAACATTTAAAGAAAAAAAAATACAAAAGAAAAAATAAAAAGAAAGATTGAGCAGCTGGAAACAGCATTTAATATGAAATGATTGCTGACAACGTGTCTCGGATCTCATTATGCATAACATTGCATTCCTCTCTCTGCCCCTATGTGTCAATATCAAAGAGACAAGGAATTTCCTGATATCCCAGCATCTTGAAGATAAGAAAGAGGAACAGGCGCAATAACAGCATGGGGGAAAAAAGGAGTAAAATTAGAGAAAGTTGAAATAGAGAGTGAAAGAACAAAATTAAACTGCAGGTCAAAGACAGCTGCCATTGCTGAATTGCTTTTAAAGTGCAACTCCATGGATGGTTGAGCCTAGTTTTACTACCATGTAAGTAATGTACCTGGAACAAGCAAGCAGCCAGTGAAAATCTTAAAATCCATATGCCGATCCTGTATACAGGTTTAAGACTCACTTAATAATTAATTCAGGCTCAATATGTCAGCCCGGAAGCTTACACTAGTAGTAACTTTCACAGACTCCATATGTTAGCTCTGAAGCTTTCACCAATGGTAGCTCCCACTGACTCAGTATGCAAGCACTGAAGCTTACACCAATGGTAGCTCCCACAGGCTCAGTATGTAAGCCCTGAAGCTTACACCAATGGTAGCTTCCACAGGCTAAGTATGTCAGCCCTGAAGCTTACACCAATGGTAGCTTCCACAGGCTAAGTATGTCAGCCCTGAAGCTTACACCAATGGTAGCTTCCACAGGCTAAGTATGTCAGCCCTGAAGCTTACACCAATGGTAGCTTCCACAGGCTAAGTATGTCAGCCCTGAAGCTTACACCAATGGTAGCTTCCACAGGCTAAGTATGTCAGCCCTGAAGCTTACACCAATGGTAGCTTCCACAGGCTAAGTATGTCAGCCCTGAAGCTTACACCAATGGTAGCTTCCACAGGCTAAGTATGTCAGCCCTGAAGCTTACACCAATGGTAGCTTCCACAGGCTAAGTATGTCAGCCCTGAAGCTTACACCAATGGTAGCTTCCACAGGCTAAGTATGTCAGCCCTGAAGCTTACACCAATGGTAGCTTCCACAGGCTAAGTATGTCAGCCCTGAAGCTTACACCAATGGTAGCTTCCACAGGCTAAGTATGTCAGCCCTGAAGCTTACACCAATGGTAGCTTCCACAGGCTAAGTATGTCAGCCCTGAAGCTTACACCAATGGTAGCTTCCACAGGCTAAGTATGTCAGCCCTGAAGCTTACACCAATGGTAGCTTCCACAGGCTAAGTATGTCAGCCCTGAAGCTTACACCAATGGTAGCTTCCACAGGCTAAGTATGTCAGCCCTGAAGCTTACACCAATGGTAGCTTCCACAGGCTAAGTATGTCAGCCCTGAAGCTTACACCAATGGTAGCTTCCACAGGCTAAGTATGTCAGCCCTGAAGCTTACACCAATGGTAGCTTCCACAGGCTAAGTATGTCAGCCCTGAAGCTTACACCAATGGTAGCTTCCACAGGCTAAGTATGTCAGCCCTGAAGCTTACACCAATGGTAGCTTCCACAGGCTAAGTATGTCAGCCCTGAAGCTTACACCAATGGTAGCTTCCACAGGCTAAGTATGTCAGCCCTGAAGCTTACACCAATGGTAGCTTCCACAGGCTAAGTATGTCAGCCCTGAAGCTTACACCAATGGTAGCTTCCACAGGCTAAGTATGTCAGCCCTGAAGCTTACACCAATGGTAGCTTCCACAGGCTAAGTATGTCAGCCCTGAAGCTTACACCAATGGTAGCTTCCACAGGCTAAGTATGTCAGCCCTGAAGCTTACACCAATGGTAGCTTCCACAGGCTAAGTATGTCAGCCCTGAAGCTTACACCAATGGTAGCTTCCACAGGCTAAGTATGTCAGCCCTGAAGCTTACACCAATGGTAGCTTCCACAGGCTAAGTATGTCAGCCCTGAAGCTTACACCAATGGTAGCTTCCACAGGCTAAGTATGTCAGCCCTGAAGCTTACACCAATGGTAGCTTCCACAGGCTAAGTATGTCAGCCCTGAAGCTTACACCAATGGTAGCTTCCACAGGCTAAGTATGTCAGCCCTGAAGCTTACACCAATGGTAGCTTCCACAGGCTAAGTATGTCAGCCCTGAAGCTTACACCAATGGTAGCTTCCACAGGCTAAGTATGTCAGCCCTGAAGCTTACACCAATGGTAGCTTCCACAGGCTAAGTATGTCAGCCCTGAAGCTTACACCAATGGTAGCTTCCACAGGCTAAGTATGTCAGCCCTGAAGCTTACACCAATGGTAGCTTCCACAGGCTAAGTATGTCAGCCCTGAAGCTTACACCAATGGTAGCTTCCACAGGCTAAGTATGTCAGCCCTGAAGCTTACACCAATGGTAGCTTCCACAGGCTAAGTATGTCAGCCCTGAAGCTTACACCAATGGTAGCTTCCACAGGCTAAGTATGTCAGCCCTGAAGCTTACACCAATGGTAGCTTCCACAGGCTAAGTATGTCAGCCCTGAAGCTTACACCAATGGTAGCTTCCACAGGCTAAGTATGTCAGCCCTGAAGCTTACACCAATGGTAGCTTCCACAGGCTAAGTATGTCAGCCCTGAAGCTTACACCAATGGTAGCTTCCACAGGCTAAGTATGTCAGCCCTGAAGCTTACACCAATGGTAGCTTCCACAGGCTAAGTATGTCAGCCCTGAAGCTTACACCAATGGTAGCTTCCACAGGCTAAGTATGTCAGCCCTGAAGCTTACACCAATGGTAGCTTCCACAGGCTAAGTATGTCAGCCCTGAAGCTTACACCAATGGTAGCTTCCACAGGCTAAGTATGTCAGCCCTGAAGCTTACACCAATGGTAGCTTCCACAGGCTAAGTATGTCAGCCCTGAAGCTTACACCAATGGTAGCTTCCACAGGCTAAGTATGTCAGCCCTGAAGCTTACACCAATGGTAGCTTCCACAGGCTAAGTATGTCAGCCCTGAAGCTTACACCAATGGTAGCTTCCACAGGCTAAGTATGTCAGCCCTGAAGCTTACACCAATGGTAGCTTCCACAGGCTAAGTATGTCAGCCCTGAAGCTTACACCAATGGTAGCTTCCACAGGCTAAGTATGTCAGCCCTGAAGCTTACACCAATGGTAGCTTCCACAGGCTAAGTATGTCAGCCCTGAAGCTTACACCAATGGTAGCTTCCACAGGCTAAGTATGTCAGCCCTGAAGCTTACACCAATGGTAGCTTCCACAGGCTAAGTATGTCAGCCCTGAAGCTTACACCAATGGTAGCTTCCACAGGCTAAGTATGTCAGCCCTGAAGCTTACACCAATGGTAGCTTCCACAGGCTAAGTATGTCAGCCCTGAAGCTTACACCAATGGTAGCTTCCACAGGCTAAGTATGTCAGCCCTGAAGCTTACACCAATGGTAGCTTCCACAGGCTAAGTATGTCAGCCCTGAAGCTTACACCAATGGTAGCTTCCACAGGCTAAGTATGTCAGCCCTGAAGCTTACACCAATGGTAGCTTCCACAGGCTAAGTATGTCAGCCCTGAAGCTTACACCAATGGTAGCTTCCACAGGCTAAGTATGTCAGCCCTGAAGCTTACACCAATGGTAGCTTCCACAGGCTAAGTATGTCAGCCCTGAAGCTTACACCAATGGTAGCTTCCACAGGCTAAGTATGTCAGCCCTGAAGCTTACACCAATGGTAGCTCCCACAGGCTCAGTATGTAAGCCCTGAAGATTACACCAATGGTAAATCCCATATTGCTTTGCTCATAGGTGTGCTATAAGTAAGGGAGTATAATGGAAAAAGGAAGGAGGATGTATTACCAGTTATACGCCTCTTCTTCTTTTCTGGAGGTGTTTGTTGTACTGTGTGCTTTGCTGGCTCTCTTATAAGGACTCTGGTTTCTATAGGCCGGCCCATTTTGCTTTATTGCCTCCAAGATCTGATCATAATGCTTGCGGGAAGACTGTTTGCTCAGCACTTTATATGCTTCATTAACACGTACAAACTGGGCATGGAGGGAAGGATTTGATGGGTCACTGTCAGGATGGCACTAAAAAAATAGACCAGACAAATATGATAGCTGTGGCATGAAGAGGTACACAGAATAAATACAATATATATATATATTTGCTAATTACAATGCAATTTAAAGGCAATCTGGGGCAAAGCAACTCCTGTGTATAAAGTTTCAGATGGATGCGGTCATCTGAACTGCATGCTAGCTTCATTGCATTGACATAATTTCACTAAAGATTCAAAGGTTTATCTTCACAGTCCTTAAATAGTATGTGGTTTCCATTTGAGGTTTTTTTGGGTGCTTTGTTTGAGGATAGATTACCCTTGTGTGTTGGCCATGCATTTATTGCATTTTGGCTGATTCCTGCTGAAATCCATTCCATATGGGACCCCGCTGGCACCAGCCAGTTCGACAAAGGTCAATTTTTCATTCAACTTTTGTCGAAGGAGCTGGGTGAAAAATTATTGGCTGAACATTGACTGCAGAAGTCACTGTTTGGGTATTCAGACAGCCGAAGACATCAGCTATCAGCAAACAATAGCTGTCAGGGAAGATTCTAAACAGCCTCGAAGGGGGAATCAAGCATTTTGTAAAGTGCATGGCCACCTTAAGGCAAGAGAAAACCATTAAAAAAAAAAAATGTTTGCCCTAATGTGTAAGTGCCCACAGCATACTTCACATTAGGGCACACTTACCTTAAACATGTGCCCTTCTCCAGTGCTGTTGGATCAATCTTCAGTCCTCAGCCCTGTCCCCTCCCATCTCTGCTGCTGACACTGCCAGGTTTTTGGAAGTCCTCTTTGGCCATCATTGGGTGGCCATTGATCCTGTAACTCCTGTGCATGCACACAAGAGTTATATTCTCCATGGCACCCAACCCATTCACACGTTTTTTTAAAGATGCTGTGAATGGGTTGAATGTGTACACTGCATGGTACACATGTGTAATACGGTGTACACAAAAAAAAAAAATTGCTGGGGGATAGAGGAATAATTTTCTTGGCAGAAGATACTTTCTATGTCTCTTCTGCCAAAAATCCCTGCCTTCCAGCAATTTTCCCTTTACTTCTGCTTTATTTTCCAAACAATATTATTTCCCTCCTCACACATTTCTAGAAGCTAAATACACCAATTGATGTGTGGAAGCAAAAAAAATGGCCATGCGTAAGGATTTGTGCGACTTTGAGGGCCAAACAGTGATGGCTAGGCAACTTGGTTAGAGCAACTGTAAACTGCAAAAATGGTTCAAGATTTTTTTGAGGTGTTGACTTGGCTTCCAAATTCCCCAAATCTCAATCCAATCCAGCATCTGTGGGATGTGCTGGAAAAACAAGTGCGATCCATGGAGGCCCCACCTAGCAACTTACAGGACTTGCTACTGATGGCTTGGTGCCAGATACCACAGGATACCTTAATGGGTCTAGTGGAGTCCATGACTCAATGGCAAAAGGGGGACCAACTCAATATTAGGCGGGTGGTCATAATGTTATGGCTGATTGGTGTTAAGCTGCAGCAGCAGACTACTGGAATGCAGTACCTGCTGTGGGGCTAAAGGTGGTCAATTCTGCCTATTTCTGCCTACTGACTTTACAGCTCTATATATTGATCATAGAAGGATAAGTTGCCAGCGCTCAAGATGCAAACATAACCTTGTTTATTGTGATTACAGGTCATAATGCCAACGTTTCTCAGTGACCCGGTGTCTCCTTGAAAAAGAAACCCTGCATGGCCCCAAAACATTGGCATTATGACCTATGTAACCTACTCCCAATAAACAAGATTACATTTGCATCTTGAAGACGGAGTACTCGTGACTTATCTTATATCATTCTGAGATTGAACACGGGCGCCAGACACCCCACTTTCTTTGGTGACAGCTCTCTATGGTGTGCAGCTGACGTCTGCATTGATTCTCTAAAATGATGAGACAAAAATTAGGCTATTTAGGGCTACCATAAGAGTAGAAACTAGCATTCCTGACTGTTAGATATCTTATAACTTCTCTGTACATCAGGGACATTCCTTCTCTCCTTTTACTATGAAGAGAAAAGGAAGTAAAACACCACCAGAGTGTTGGTAGCAAAGTCACATAATACCGTGGTGGATCTTGGGTCAATTAAGGATGTGCAGATGTTCTTGAGAAGACATCAGGCCAGCTATGGCCAAGTACCCTATCCAATCATTACTCCACATTATGCAAAATCCTAGTAATATTTAAAGGACACAAAGTATGAGCAAAAATGCGCTATAACTGTTTACATACATCCAGAGATTTTAGCAGGTTAGGGTAGAAGTCAAAGCTTATTTGTGACTAGCTGGAAGGATTAGAATACGTCAATATCAATTTAATCATATTATTGAGTAAAGGGCATGTGTCAGAAGCACAGGTCCTGTGACAGGAAATGTACTCATTTGATGTGCGGTTGTTTGAATACAAGCTGGTGATGTTAATGTATAATCATGTTTATAATACGGTTTCCAGACAAAAGTGTTCTACAGACTTTAAAGCAAACCTGTCACTGTTAATTGCTTACTGTATTGCAACTAACTTGCTCTAGTTTGTCACGTTCAGCAGTGCTTCCTGTCTGGTTCCTCCTTATTGTGCTCTCTTTTAAAGCAGACCTTGCAGAAAAATTGCAAGGTCTTCTTGTTAGATCATGGCCCCGTCCCCTGTAGAATTCACTATATATTAGAAGGGCAAAAAAGGTACTTGTGGGGAAAAAGACAGAATGAATACTTTACTTATATTACCCGTCTTCCACCTACGTCGCCTAGGCAGGGGTAACATCCGGATCCTTTTGGTGAGATCCTGGAAACACTGAGGATCCCAAATCTCACAAGAAGATGCTCTTGCATGTGGCTGGAGTGACTCTTCACAGTATTTGGGCTACTCATTGTTCCATAGAAAGCTCGCCAGGAGGACAGTGAGTCATGCACTGCAATGCAAAAGAAGAAGGTTAAAGCAGAACCCCAGGTAAAATTGTATTAACCCTTACAGTGGAGCCTACACGCACACTCCTCACAGTATTTGGGCTGCGCATTGTTCGCTAGAAATCTCGCCAGGAGGACAGTGAGTCATGCACTGCCATGCAAAAGATGAAGGTTAAAGCAGAACTCCGGGTAAAAAATTGTATTAACCGTTGCAGTGAGTCCACCCCTTCACTGCAAGGATTAAGTGCTTGTTTTTGCCTAGGGTCAAACATAAAAAAGTTACACTCACGCGATCCTCCGAGACCGGTCCCTGGAGCCTCTCTCCCCCTCCACTGCAGCGGTCTTAGTTTCTTGAGTCATCACGTTCTATACACAATATATAGGATGTGAGGATGCTGATGGACATATCATCACTGCAGTCGAGGAGGAAAGAGGCAGGAGGGAGCACTGTCACAACTGACCCGCTTGGAGGATTGGACGAGTATAACTATAAAAGTATTTTTTACCCTAGACCCAAACGAGCACTTAACCCTTGCAGTGCGGGGGAACACCCACTGCAAGTTATTAAAATTTCTACTCTGAGTTTTACTCTGAGTTTTTCTTTAAGTATTGATTTTAAAAAATTCTTACAGGTAAATTTTTGTCCTTCTACTATATAGCAGATTTATACAGGGGAGGGTGCGCTGATCTAATAAGCAGACCTTATATTTTACTGCAAGGTCTAACTTCAGACCTTTGGTAAGCTTTGATAAATCAGGCAACAAGTGTTATGGCTTTACATATTCCCAGAGGTCTCCAGCAATCCCCTGAGCAACCCTCCTAGGGGAAGAATAACGGTTCATATACATGGTCTATATGTCAGCTGCCTTTATTCCCTATGAAAGCCAAGTAGCTCAATGCAACTCCATTTACAACTGAAAGGATAATCAAAGCAACCCACACACGAGTGTTAAAAGCACCTATAAGCATACATCATTCTGAATCTGAAGACCATCTGAAGTCTGTACAGCCCATTATTGGTTTAAATTTCCAGTTCAAACACTACTGTGTTCCCCCTTAAGAAAAACTGGCATCGGGGTGAAGGGGCATAGGCATAACCGTGAGCAATCAGCATAAACATGCACATTTCTGTAAAGATCTTTTGAATATCTGAAACCTACACCTTTGCAAAAAAAGATATACTGTATATACCTGCTACATAAGCCATTTTGTACTGGAATGTTATTATAAATTACCTTTCCATTTTAATCTGCAGCCATAGTGATTTTCCAACTGTCCCCTGCAAAATGGCACCCTGAAGGCATTCTGTATACTGTAGAAGGGAATTTATCAAACTGGAGCAGACAAAACCTGGAGCAGTTGTGCACGGCAACCAATCAGCTTCTCTCTTTCATTTTCAAATCTCAACTGACCAAACTGAAGAGAGAAGCTGATTGGTTGCCATGCACAGCTGCTCCAGATTTTGTCTACTCCAGTTTTGATAAATCCCCCCCGTGTGTGTGTGTACAAAACGCTCTCAGAAATATCATTTCCTACTTGTTCTCTGGTTCTCCTAGATGTGTGTACTGAGCTAGAATTTTTATTAAAGATATCCCCTGCAAAAGGAGTTTGATTTTTGTCGAGATTTTGTTCTAAGGTTAGTCCTTACCTTCTATGATACTAATTTGTATGGAGATATTGCAAGGGGAAGAAAAAAGCTGCTTAAGCTAAAGAAAAAAGCTAGAGATCTTTTGAATGCAACCAATCGATTAGTTGAAAAAATAATCGGGCAACTAATCGATTATGAAAATAATCGTTAGATGCAGCCCTGGTGCAAATACATACAATAACAGACTTAAGCTGGCCATATACATTAAGATTTTTTCTCATTCGACCCTGCTAACTGAATGAGAGAAATCTATCAATTTCCATCTCCACACTAAACAGTGTGGATGGAAGAATTTCACCTGGCAGCACCCAAGGCTGTCAGAATACCCAAACAGTGACTGCAGCTGATTGGCTGCAGTTACTGATCAGATGAGAATTTTCCATGTGGTTTCTTTGACAAGAGTCAATTGAAAAATTGACTTTTGTCAAGCTTGGTGGTGCTGGCAGTGCCACACACAGATCGAATTATGGCTGATTTAGCAGGCAACTGACAAATTACATTTGTATATGGCCAGCTTTACTAAAAACAAAACAAAAACATTACATTTTCTAAATTCCAAAAAGGTGGGCGGTGCACATAAAAATATTGACAGGTCCCCAGAGACATACATGCAATCAAAACAGTTATTTAAAGTAATAAAATATAGATATCTTTATATAGTAACACATGAATCCGGATGTTGGAGTTGGAAAGCCAGATCTATTGTAACTGTGTTACATATTGTAAAAGACAAGTGTATCCATCTCTCTGTACACACTAAATCTGATCTGCTGATGAATTTCCTTGCATGGGAAAAGACGTCTGCCCTTACAGACACACTACTTATCAAAACCCTGTGACAACTGATAGTCACATGAAAACAGAATTCTTTCTAAAACCATGATGGGGGATGTATATAAAACAGAGTAAAAGTATTTTTCATTTTCTTATCATGTACAGTTATTGTGAGCTAACATGTTCGTACGCATCTTGCTTATTGTATTAATCTGATAAGATATAACATTGTTTAACTTCAGACACAGCAAAGGTGTGCCTAAAGCTAAACTTCAGGCTAACAGCTAAATCCACAGATGAAAGGAGCTGTTTTACCTGCACAAGGATTTGTATTTCTGTCCATCCAGTTCTATTATTACACAGTTCTGCCACACCACACAGCCCAGTCTGGAAGGGCAGGAGATCTAATTTTTATCTGCTGCAGTTAAGTAACACTTATAAATCTTGTACCACTCGCAGCTTGTGATTGGACAGTAAGGGAAGAAGAAGCAGACTGATGTACAGATCTCGGGTTCAGGTCCTGTACCACCCAAAGCCTATGACTGAACAGTAAAGTAAGAAGCAGCAGACCAATTAGCTCAGTTCTTTAAAGCTTCCCTGCTCCCAACTAAGTGTAACCCACATCGTACAGTACATAACCCCGATCCAGAGAGCTTAACTGTGCAGCATGGTGCCGCAGAGGCTTTCCACAATTAAGGTCCGGCCAGGCCCTGCTTCTACTGCGCATGTGTGTCACAGTATCATTCATTCCTATGGCTTGGTCGATACTCATGGCAGCCCCAGTCATCCAGAGGAGTATTGACCAAGCCATTAGAACCGATAGGTCTGCAGCACACATATACAGTGGGCGCAGGACCCAGCCACAACTTTTTATTTTGTAAAGGCTGTGCAGTGTAGGGCAAGGCCGCACAGTGAAGATCTCAGGAGTTGGGCTGAAGGTAAGTATTTAGCTATGTGGGTTACACAAAGGGGAAAGTGGAAAAGCTGTGAAGGAGAAAGCTTTAAATAACAACTTTGACTTATGTCTCTCTTGATAAAAGCAGGGAGTCAGAGAGACAATTAACAAAGTAGGGTGGTGATTAATGTTACTCCTTTTTAGTTATTCTTACCATCTACACCAGCATTCTTGCAGGCCATACAGCAGCTGACTGAGCTGCAATGGGGGCAGTTGTGTCATTTGTCTTAAAGTGTATTTCCACTTTTTCGGGTCAAATTTGAGAAAAACCCCTACTATATGTTTAAAGCGGTATTAAAGTGTTTTTTTTTTTTACATATATCTACTACTAGCAAGCAGTAGATTTATGAAAAAACATTTAATAAAAAAAAAAGAAGTTCCCAAACAGGTAAAAACTTACTGCTCGCTTCTGACTATAGAAATCAGCTTCCCCGAACGGCCTTGCAGGAGGATGAGTGGAGGCGCATGCGCAATAGTGATCAATGGCGGGGAGAAGAGGAAAGACTCACTGTAAGTCAATGCACGCAGCTGTGAGCGGGCCCGTCGGACAGACACAGTGGGACAGGAAGAGACAGCAGTCTGCGCTGGATCAGAGACCGGCACTAGTGCTTGGAGGGACTGCTGTAAACAAGTAGAAGGAAGAAGATTATCGCATCAAGAGGCATCATTTAAGGTAAGTCCTTACAGCAGCATGGGGGGGTTGTGACTTTAATGTCACTTTAAGTGTTCTGATTCACACACCATACCTAAAAAACAAAAACATTAAAAAAATAAACATTTGTTATCTTTTAGATGTTTCTTTGGTGAACGCCTTTGTGCGGATTGTAGGCTACTCTGAGCAGTTTGAAAGAAAAGTGGAGGGCCAAACTGAGCGTCTTCTCATTAACATACAGTGTTTCTAAGTCTTTAACCTTTTGTTAGGATAGACAGTGTTCAAATCTAGTTTACAATTGATAATGAAATCTGCCAACACAGTACAGACAGTGTTCATTAGAGTAAACATAACTTCCCACAGCCCCCTCCTTAACATTTTATAGGGATTTTAAAGCAAGTATAAAGCACTTAAAAATGTAAGCAGCAATTTCTAAATATCTTTTTAAGTTATGTTATATGTGTAACATATATAAAGCAGGTGTTATCCCAATTTGATTGCAAAGTGGAAATACACTTTATTCAAGTGATGTTAAAAGAAAAAGTGAAAATTTTACAACCTTGGTTCCTTTAGAAGTCTCTGACAAATAAGCACTATGTCGTACATGACCTTACAGTAGTGATTTGTAGCAGATAAAAAATCTATGCCATAAGCCTTTTTATTGCTAGCAGAAAATGAACTGCAGTAGGAAGAGTTATGTCACAGCGATGTTTGGAACTGGCGACAGAATGACCAAGTACATTATCCATGTTATCCAGTGCTATATTATCATTAGCATGATATCAGTAAAACACATGACCCAAGTCTGATCTGTAGACTGGGAATGTATTAGCCACACCAATTTCTGCATCTATAACCTGATCTCAATAAGGAATATATAGCTATGCACTGCTGAAATACATTTTCCATACACATAATATAGAATAACAGGAAAATTATATTGAGAGAATTACCTTCTTTGATAGGTCAATAAAGGCATTCTTAATGTCAATGACTGATGCTTCTCTTCCAACACCCAGCACCTGATAATGGTCCTGCAAAGCAGGACTAAAAAGAAAAGAAATTATATCATGTTAGGATCACTGCAACCTGTGTCCCCCTACCTAATTCAAGCTCAGTCTGGGCATGTACTGGGACTAAAGGGTACATCTTTGTCTACTAGTGGCCAGGCGCTGTGTGATGCGTAAATGGAACGCAAATACTCCTCCGACAGTGAAGGAAGTGGTGAGGGAATTGACTGTGTTTTTCCAGCGTGAACGACTGGATGCAGAACTTCAACCCAACATGAGATCCGAGGCATTTTATAATAGATGGGAAGCTTTCATCAGCACTACCCTCACACCGACTGAAAATTACTCAGATTATGACACCCTTTCACTATACAAAATGGTACCTGAAGGCCTGTATATCACATACATCGGGAAATCTTGAGATTGCTTAGGTAATGGGTTGTTTTCTGATCGGTGGCGTCGATCAGCACACTTCCTGGGTACCTCTAGTATATCTTATAACTGAACACAGCTTTAATTCTTTCTATTTACGGCTCTTGACTGTTACATGGACCGAGGTAACCCAGCGGGGTTTTACGTTTGTATTATTTGGTATTGCTTTGTATTGGCTTGAATTACTTTGATGAAAAACTAATAAACTATTTTAAAAAAAAAAAGAACTTTGGGCAAATAAACTCTTAACCCTTGCAGTGGGGCTACCCCTGCACTGCAAGCATTCAGTCCTTGTTTACATACCTAAACCACAATCCTGGCTGGCTCCTAGAATGGTCCCTTCAGCCTGTCTCCTCATCCGCTCCAGTGAGGAGTGTCTCTCTATGTCCCCACGTCCTATACACTGTATAGGACGTGATGACTCACCGGACTTAGACTGCTGGAGTGCAGGTGGGGAGGAGAGGCTCCATGCACCGGTCTAGGAGCCAGCTGGGATCACGGTTGGGGTGAGTATAACTCATTATTTTAGCTCCCTAGACAAAATGAGCACTTAAACCTTGCTGTGCAGGGGCAGCCCCACTGCAAGGGTTAACATTGTATTCGCCCTTAGGACTGTATTTACTTCTCTCAATAGTTAATCATGGTTTACTCTAATGTGTTCTCAATATTTTTAAAGAGACTATGCCATATTAAAGAGACCATGTTATTCTCTAAAAAATCATATCTGAAGTTCCATGTTATAGAAGAGGTGTTCTCCAGCAGCCTGTGTCTCCTACCTTCCCTCCATTCCAACACTGCAGCCTTGGCAAGACTTGATGGCCTTGGACACTTCTAGGAGTGTTGGATGGCTGTGTCTTCCATAACACGCTGTGGTTCCTTCCTCTGACCCCTACCGGATTATAGGACACAACAGTGACAAGGTGGACTAAGGACTGATTACATGGCAGTGGACACAGGTATCTGGCACTACTTGAAGTGTTCAATGCCAAAGTGTCTTAAGGAGGCTGGAATGGAGGGAAAGAAGGAGACATGGGCCACTGAAGAGGCAAGTATCATAGTTCTTCTATTGCAGGGACCTTCAGAATACTGACAGCTACTGAGAGGTATGAAATTCAGGCTCCCAGGGTCCACATACCAGTAGCATTCAGTATCCACTGACTCTTCCAAGTTCCTTGCCGTTCTGATTGGGCAAAGCTTCAGTACTTACTCTTAGGGCTCAAGCTTGCTGGCCCTCTCCTTTTCATATATTCCTATTGCCCAGCAAGGCAGCTCATCATTGTGATAGGCCAATGTGTGTGGAGGGGACTTAGGTACAAGCTCTATGCTCAGGGTCGGCCTTAGGCCTTTAGGCGCCCTGTGCGAGAAAGCTTTACAGCGCCCCTCAGTGACCACACCCCTCAGTGACCACACCCTTCAGTGGCCACACCCCCATAACCACACCCATTTCCCCCAATATCCGCACCATTTAAAGACTCCTATTTTGTTAAGCCGCAAAGAAACATATTTAAAAGTATGATAAAAATAAAACTCACCCCAACCGTGAAAGGTATTAAACTTGTAGGAACAATAGAAGTATTCTTATCAAATAAAATAACAGAAGGCAAACAATAAATGTCAAACTAAAATAGAGTCTATAAAAATAAAGTGTCAGGTTGTCATGCAGACCCCTTTTTTCAAGTAAGTATATCTAGAAAAGTAAAAATAGAAAACGGAACACAAAACCCAGAATACATGTAAATTAATGTATTCCAGCACATAATAATTTGAGAATGTGCGGCGGCCATGTTGGCCACCGGTGTGTTCTGTGAATGTGTGTCACCAGTGGCGTAACCAGAGTTACGGGCGCCAGGGGCAGAGCAAAATTTTACGCCCCCCCTCTCAGGAAGCTGTCTCCTGCAGAGACCCCCAGAGACCCTGCAGTCTGCCGGATCTCAGGGGGGCTGTGCAGGATCTGTGGGGGGCTTTGCAGGCTGCAGAGAACCCTATGGATCCTGTAAAGCCTCCCACAGTTCCTGCAGAGACCCCCTGAGACTCTGCAGTCTGTCGGATCTCAGGGGGCTGTGCAGGATCTGTGGTGGGCTTTGCAGGCTGCAGAGCCCCCTACGGATCCTGCAAACCCCCCACAGATCCTGCAGAGACCCCCTGAGGCCCTTGAGTCTGCAGGATCTCAGGGGGTCTGTGCAGGATCTGTGGGGGGCTTTGCAAGCTGCAGAGACCCCTATTGATCCTGTAAAGCCCCCCTCCTCCTGCAAAACACATTTTTATATGTGCATCCCACATACAGGACACATGTGGGTACAGTACAGTATATTGTACCCACATGTGACCAGGAGGGCATGTATGAGGGACATTGAGAGTGCTGAGGGATGCACATAAATAATGTATTGAATACACCATTCACATGTGTGTCCCACTGTCCTCCTTACATGTCCTCCTGTGGGTTTCAAATACCAATACATAACATACATGGGGGTACAGAGCCCCCAGTCCCCCAACTGTTCCCCATACAGGTCCTAGTCACAGCACATTATGTGGGTACCCGTTCTAGTGCAAAAGACACACTCACACTACCGCTGCTGCTCCCGGGTTAAGCTTCAACTCCTCTGCCCGCTGGCTCTCACGTCAGAGCCAAACACACTTTTAAAAAATAATGTTTTACTTTATTATTTTTTTTTCATAATTTTTTATTATTTATTTATTTTGTACTGTTGGGGGGGGTTTTCACTTTTTTAAAAATTATTTTTTACTTTTTTTATTATTTTTTTTCTCACGGCGCCCTGTGCGGCCGCGCAGCTCGCACACCCCTAAGGCCGGCCCTGTCTATGCTTGTGTGTGGAGGGGACTTAGGTACAAGCAGAAATGCTTGAGCTTTGCCTGTGCAGAACGGTCTAGCATTTGGGCTAAGCAGAGGATACAGAAAGCTGCTGAGGGTATGTGCCCCTCTAGGTGCCTACACGTCATAGCTGTTGGGAGTTTTCAGTATCCTTAAAGTGACAGAGTATCTTTGAAAAATGAACAAGATCCACCAATTTAATGGTCTCCCAAAACAGTTACTTTCAAGGCATGCCAACTGACAAGGTTGCCAGTGTGCTCATTTCAGCTCTCAAATGAACATTCAAGCCCTCAAATGGCTGGTTTCATAGTTGATCACATGTGCAGCACCAACTGCAATCCCAATAGAGGTTCAGACGAGACCTTCCTTGGCTGGAAAGCATAAGTGGTTGTAGTTCTTTAGTAAAGAAAGTATCTGGCCGCACTCCGTTCCACGCTGAATCAGTTTATTGAAAATTCGTCAGTGACACTGAGCAGAGCCCGAGGTCCGCACCCTCTGACATATTTCACCCGGTCCTGGGCTTACTCCAGTGGCTGTAGTTCTGCTTTAACACACAACGCCTCTCTATGAACCAGCAGAGTTCTGCACTAGTCGTTATATCGTATCATAGTAAAAACAAGTAAATATCTCTGCTCAGTAAGCATCCATCATTTGTACTCCTTGGTTGAGAATTTGTGTCTCAGATGACAGGGATGAAAATTAGGGAATCATTTACAATGAAAACAAAGCATTGCATATGGGTACAAATGTACCAGGGTAAATGTAGAAGTAAAAGCATCTCACCGGGAATATGTTCCAGACGAGCGCCAAGCCCCTGCTGTCCATATGTGTACACCTCCTTTACACAACCCACGCCATGACATTATTGAAGAACGATAATCTCTGTGGACTGAGAGAACATGTGATTAAAGGTCAGCAATCACAAACCAGATACAGAAGTCATATAATGCAAATATTAGTTGGCTGATTATTTTTTTTCCGATTAATCGTATAAAAAAATTAAATATATACCATCCTTAATTTAAAATAAAATATGCAAATGCATTGTTACAAACAAAGTTTACTTCAGAATAAAACTGCATGCACAATTTTTTGCAATCGCACCTCACCAGAATGCACGGCATTGAGGTACCGCATGCTTCAGTGCAGGCGATCACACTGTGGGAGAGAGGAGAGTTTGGGGTGCCATTGAAATGAATGGCACTGCAACACACCTCCTTCAGCAGAATTTGTCAGGCCGAAACCAAAGATTACTTTTTTCCCACCTTTTAAAAACATTTTTTTAAATAATTGTATTGTAAGCAGATGGCGCTTGAATATCTGCAGTCAGGGAATGACAGCTGCCAGTGGTAAGATTCTGCAGACGACAGCTGACTGTAAATACAGCAAGAAGTGCGCTGGTGCAATAGCACCAACCAACAAACTAATCGATTATGAGAACAGTTGAAAACTACTCTCATTATTGATTAATCCATTAGTTGATTGCAGCCCTAACTTGGTTGATTGGGGCTGTGCAACAGATAGGCAATATGGCGGCCTATCCCTGTATTGAGAATTTTGTGAGGGAAAACGTATGTTCTTTGAGATGTTTAACTTTAGTAGCCCAATTCAGATTACGCCACAGTATTTCGATGAGATTAAGGTCAGGATTTTGACTTGGCTATTGGACTGCTAAAATTCAGGATTTCTCCCTGAGCCACTCCTGTGTCATACTGCATGGCCTAACTTGTTTTACATTTTATACTGCATGGAGACATACTGCACTTCTTCAGTAGAGTTCTGTGTGCAACTTGAAATTCATTAGTCCAAAAATGATGCAAACATCCAGACCCTAAATGTAAGACTATACCTGGCCGTGCGGATGCTTCTGCGCATGCGCGTAAGCCTGTCTTCTGCATTTGTGGGAAACGGGCGCTATTGCGTGTAGGTAGGTGCAGTATGGCCAACGGCCACCAGATGCCCCCATGGGGCTCTGGAGATAGATGCAGCTCTGGCCTGGGGAGACTCTGTGTCCCAGGAGAGTTGATTTATAGGGGGCGCCCAAGAGGGGGAGGAGTCAGAGAGTACCAGTGGGCCTCTGGGCGAGAGTTGCCAGTGGGCCTCTGGCCGAAGTAAGTCGTGGACTCTGGGCTGCACCTGGGCTGATGTACCTCTCTCTCTCTAAAGTGTAACACCAAGTAAGTAACAAGAATTGTGTCGTCATCCCGAGTCACGTGGCTGAAACGTATACTTTGTTCTGTTTATACCTTCAAGTAAAACTGTGTGGACTGGTTCTTCTCCCTCCAACCTCTGAGAAGGTGGGGTTCTACCGGAGTGTGATGTTGGACTGTATCTGTATCGTGGCTGTAACCATCTGAGGAGGGTAGGTGTGCAATGGGGCTATGCCTGGCACAGGGTGCCGCTCATGGTGGCCTTTCTCCCTAAGGGGGAGGAAGCGCCGAGTCCCGCAGAGGCGGTGGAAGCCATGAGGCCCTGTGTACGCAGTACTACACGTGAGGGAGTGTTTGCATGAGGCCAAGGCTGTGGCCCCTGACCGTGGGGTGTCTGGTTTCGAGTTGCATGCATGGGGTTACCCAGCCAACCCAAAGGGGACACCCACGCAACACCTCAAGAGTGAACCCCGCCTACATGCGCATGCGAGCTCAACGAATGTGCGTGCGGAAACGTGCTAACGTGGCGCACAGGAAGTGATGCAGCTTCTCTGAATAGATGGCCCTATTTAAACTTGCCAGTCATATGGATCATTGCTGAATGGTCTTTTGGCTCCCGTGTGTGTGTGTTCCTGTGCCTCTGCCTGTTCCAGTGTTCTGCTGCCTGACCCGGATCTCCTAGACTACGCCTGACTGCTGCCGCCCCTGATCTCTGCTTGCCCCTCGACTACTCTTCTGCCTGCCGCCTGCCCGATCGGTGTTGACCCTGGCCTGCCTGACTTCCTCCTGCTCCAGCTGTGTTCCTGGTGGTCTTTCCAGCTGCATCTACACCTGCTTCCTTGGAGACCAGCTTCAGACTCACCCATGCACAGTGCCCTGCACCCTCTGGCACCGGTGCTGCTCTCTGTCCTCTCACTCCTTGTCACCACTCTCAGGGGTGCGGGACAAGAGTTGCAAAGGAGGCCTCCTCACTACCCGGTTCTCTACCAGGTACGTGATACTAAGGCAGCAAAATGGTCTGCATCATTATGCATCCTTCTCCATGCTTTACAGCTAGGAAAAAGTGTTGGAGTTGATCATAGGTTTTGTTTTCTCCAAAACATCCAATGCCGTGCACAATTAAAATATACATTTTTTTTCCTTATCTGTTCATGGAGCATTGTTCCAATAGTGCTGTGGAACACTCAAGTGTAATTTCAAATAACTGAGATAGGCAGCTGTGACCTTTGTAGTGGCCTTACCACTTCGTTTAACATGGCTGCTATCAAATGCAAGATATATGTTTGTGGGTCCTTAGCAGTAAACACGTGTGAGAAGTACGAGGTGTGCCCTCATGCTGATGATATGCAAGACAACCAAACAAGAAACTGTCCTGATTTTATGTAAACTGTTCCATGCCAAAGTCTGTAGAACACATTATGTAACCTTTTCCAGTTTAATGAGCTTCAACGAGTCTTTTTCTTCACCTGAAACCTCTTGATCAGGCCATATTGCAAATTTACCACCACATCACCTCTAGTACAGGGTACATATTGCACATCAACTATGACTATCACAACTATGTGATCAAACCCACACCTGAACTGGTGAAACTAACTACGAGACATTTTTATAAGCGTTATCCGAAGTAGTTTGCAAACGGAGTGCCATGCTTGTCCACATCGGTAGTCACTACCTGCAGTGGTTCTGTAAGGCCTTGTTCACACCAAATGCAGACCAGATCCGGTCAGGTTTCTGCACACGCAGTGTAGTGGGTTGTGCCGCGTTTTAGACGCGTTTTTGATGCGTTTAGGGCCGTTTTTTTTTTTTTAAGTTTAACATGGACTTTCAGGCACTTGCATGCGTTTTTGGTGCGTTTTTGCGTTTTAGATGCGTTTTAGATGCGTTACAGACCAGATCCAGAGCAGGTAAAATAGGGCTTGCCACATTTTTTTCATCCGGTCTGGATCTGGTCTGGATCCGCACGCTGCGATGTGAACTGGAGGTCAAAATACCATAGGAATACATTGGACGCAGTTTTGATCCGGTCTGCACCTGCTCTGGTCCGGATCTGCTCCGCGCTTGGTGTGAACAAGCCCTGAGAGTACTGCACATTATTAGGATACAGACCCCTGTAGGTGTTTTTTAGATACAATGAAAGGAATTTATCAAAACTGGAGATTTGCATGGCAACCAATCAGCTTCTCTCTTTCATTTTCAAATCTTAACTGAACAAACTGAAGAGAGAAGCTGATTGGTTGCCATGCACAGCTACTCCAGTTTTTGTCTGCTCCAGTTTTGATAAATTCCCCTCAATGTATCTTACTAGAACCTCTAAAAATAAAGGTGTAATTCCTACCTATTGCCTCCTTGGTAGGGATGATTATATGGTAGGGCCAGATTATTATGACCACCCCATCAGTACTTCGTTGGGCCACGAGATGACTTCGTTGGGCCGCCTCGTGACTCCACGAGATGTTGAAAGGTGATGCAAGGAATCTGATACTGCACTGTGGCCCTTCTGTTGTCTTCTACCAGTCTTGCCACTCTCCGTTCTGCCCTAACATTGACTAGTCGCTGGCGGCCACAATTCGCATGTTCAGACCCAGATTTTCGGCTGACAGTCCAGTCTTTAACCACTTTAACAACAGCTGCTCTTGAACATTTAACGAATTCTGATGTTTTGCTGATACTCACTCCATGGCTCCGAGCGCCAACAATCATCCCACTTTCAAAGGCTGTTAAATCGCGTTGTTTCCCTGTATCTTCAGAAACAAATCACTTCTACTGTCGTGGTAAACAACCTGCTTCCCTATTTATAATGGTCTGGCCCTCTAGCAACTTCAGCGCAAAATTATAGCTAATTTGCCTACAAACGTCAGGTGGTCATAATAATCTGGCCACTCAGTGTATTTCAGTCAGAGAAAAGTGTGAAGGCAAACAGCCTCTGCTGTGCTCTCTTTTTAGAGAATACATATTGTTCTCTACAGTTTATTATTGAATATTTAATGTTTATATGTATAATAAAAGTTTCTATATGCATTATTAAAAAGAAGATATTTAAAACAGTTTAACCAAAGCAGGGGATAAAACTTAATCGCCACTGTGGTAGTCCTAAAGCTGAACAAACACAAGGTCATACATTTCAGTAAATATATCAATAGGTCATATAGAAAGGGTTCATGAAAGAGGAACCCACCAATTTCTCAGTTACCCAAAACAGTTTCTTTTTAAGAAGAACTCGTAGCAGAAATTGTATTAGGCCTTGTAGTAGGGCTACCCCCGCACTGCAAGGGTTAAGTGCTTGTTTTTGCCTAGAGTAAAAAAAAAGTAATACTCACCTAAACCTCCGAGCCGGCCAGCTCTTAGAGCAGTCCCTAGAGCATTTCTCCCCCTCTTCTGCAGCGATCTAGGAAAATCTGAGTCATCAAGTCCAATACAATGTATTGGACGTAAGAACGCCGAGCAACGTACCATTGCTGCAGTGGAGGGGGGAGACAGGCTTGAGGGAGCACTGCCGGCTCGGAGGTTTGGGTGAGTATTTTTTTTTTCTTACCTAGGGAAAAATGAGCAGTTAACCCTCGCTGTGCGGGGTAGCCCCACTGCAAGAGTAAATAAAATTGTGCCTGGAGTTCATCTTTAAGGCATGCCAACTGTCAAGGTTGCCAGTGTGCTTATTTCAGTTCCCAACAGCACCTTTGAGCCCTCGAATGGCTGATGTCACCTTCCTTGGCTGTAAGGGATAGGAGGTTGTAGTTCC